CAAATTGAACAACTCTCTACTTCTGTATTTTGAAGGTCTGATTAGCAACATTCCCTTTATAAATTTTCGATGCGTAAATTGTCAAGTTAACATAATTATTTGGATTCTGAAGATTATTTTGATATTTCGCTTTTTTCCTCAATTTTTTTTTTTTTAAAGATTTTGGCACATCGCCTACATTGTTATTTAAACGGACACATCCTAATATTGGATAATAACTGCAACAATAACAACCATGTTCCAAAAACTCTGCTAGTTTTCGGACAACACTTCTAGTTTGTCACATGGTTCTATTTTAATCATTGTTACAAAAACTGTTACACATTATTTTACAATGCCATAAAAGTTGAAAATAGTTTTCCTAAAAAAATACCTGACCATGTTAGTCAACGTTTTTTAGCTAACATTGGCCAGACAAATCTTGCTTCTCTTACAATTCCTGCTAAAATCATTGCCAAGAATTTGTGTCGTTCTGCTCGCTGCGATGTGCCATGTTATGATTATAATCCAGTTTTTAGTTAATCTCCCAGCACAAATGAAGGCGCATAGCTACATTAATTCTTATTAAATGTCTCAAGTAGTGGGCCATAAAGTTTTTTAATCCTAGCGATTAAAAAAAGACTTGTTTTTGAGAGCGCCTTGCGAAAAAGGCTCATGGGAAATTCCATTAATAAAAATTTTTTGCTCACAGGTACAGCTAAGCAAACCCCTTTCAAAATAGAGAGTTGACAGAGTTTTCTAACTACCTGTCTACGTTGTGTCGGTGTAGAGATGAATATCCCTTTCCTTTGATTTGCCATGAAATGCCGTTAGTGAGTTTAGATGTCAATGCATTTTGTGTAAAATTCACACGGAATTTGACAGCGTTTTTGCTACGCTATTCTGATGGGATTTAATGAATGTCGATTTTATTGTTGTTGTTGTTGTATCAAAACCAACCACTTCACCGCCAATGTCAATAAAAAATATTGAAGTGTGTGTCAAAAGGTGTCTTTATTTCCTCTATCGCCAATAAATAGCGGAAAACAGGATGTTTATTTTCATTCCAAAAGTGGTAGAGATGAACAGTTATGGAATTTTTGTTTGCAAAACTGTGAAAAATTCCTTTGGATAGGATTTGTAAAAATGAGTATATTTTATATTGAAATTGAAATCATCCCCCTTTCGATGATGGATTTGAAATTTAAATGTGTTGAAATGCATTTAGATTTAGTTCTTTGATTTTGTTTATTTAACGTACCGCACAAAGAGAAATAATACATTCGAAATAGAACAACTGTACTTTGCACATAAGGGGTATCTACAAATTTGCGGATGTTTACTTTCGTTTAACGAACAGCTAATGCAAATCGTACAGTTGGCAACTATTCCTCATAATTTAGTTTGCATTTAATCGAATTAATATTCCATCTTCCGAAAAATATTTTTAGCGGTTACAGGCGATGATAGTTTTCACTCTCATTTAAAGCTTATGGGAGAGTCATCCATGGTACACTCAACCAATCGAGGTTTTAGATCATTGTCGTTATTCTTAAAAATCCTCAATTGTTTTCCCTAAAATATTCGTTAAAAATCTAAGATTTTTGCAAAATATATTCTACCTACAATATTACAATGTATCAGTCGGTTTCGATGACAGAGGTATACCCTCAGCCTATAAAAATTTCAGGGTTGGATAAAATCGTGATATTTTTTCGATTATGTGATTTATTCAAAATTGTTTTAATTTGTGGGAGAGTTAATTGGGAGGGGATATTTTCTGTTTTTTTTTTTTAATTTTCGCAGTTAATGTTGTTGTGAACCAAAAGTGTTATTTGGGTCATGCGAGTTAATTGGGGTGACTAAACCAAGTGTGTGAAACTAAGTGAGGCCATAGCTCCCATTTATACTTTTTATTCGATTTGATAATTAAGTTCACACAGCCGTAATATGCACTCCATGACAAGCATATTTGAAAAAAGAAATGCATATACCAAAATTTGTCGAAATCGGTTCAGATTTGGATATAGCAAGTTCACGTTTATTATGTACCAAATGTGTCCGCTGTATCGATACAAACTTTATTTCCAAGATTATAGATTTTTAGATTTTAAATCCATCTTAAAATATTTTAACAGGATATACGATTGAAAATTAGGAATTTTTAATTTGATAGTCCTTAAAAATTATCCAATTACTAAAAATTGCTTTAACAAATATATATATTTTTTAATTTGCGATGACACTAGGTCCATGTCTTACAAAAACCACGATTACAACTTTGATTGTCTAACTTCTCAAAAAAATTGCAATTATAACATAGTAGTTCTTCAAAATATTATCCTAAAAATGAAAGATATTTTCTTCAAGATATTTTAAAACTCCAAAAATATTACATTGATAGATTTTCAAAAACATTTTCAGATATTTCACAATTCACATTCTAAACAAGTAAGCAAAGGCTATAGTCGTGCGGGGTCGACCATGTGTTGGAAAACTTCTTAGGTCCAAACACATTTTTGTCGATTATTTGAAATAATGTGATACTGCCCTGCACAAATGTTACCTTTGGTTTTTTACCGAGGATATTTTACTTATAGAGAGATTATAGGTATCCAAAACAATTTCACACAAAAGTTGTGGCCCATTTTAAACGCTAAATATCATTCAAGGGTCATCCAAAATCTGCTGTCCTAATCCCTAACCTCATGCAAAATTCCGTATCGATAGGTTTTGAATTGTGACCTGTGGAGCAACTGCAAAATCAGGAAAGTTTTAATTTCTGGTCCATTTTAACAATAGGATTAATTCAATTCAATATTGTAGGTCAAATATGAAGAAATCTAATGCGATAAAAAATGTGACAAAGAAATATATTCACTTTTTTAATGGCATATTTTCAAGCGATTTTCTTATCTTTTCTGGCAAGAGGCCGAATTCCGAATTTGTGAGAATTGTCAAAATCCTTCCAGCATTTATTGAGTTATAAGCAGTCTAACTAACATCCATCCCCTGCATTGATATATATTTCATGGATATGAGCATCAATCTAATGGTCAGAAGTGATATTTTTCGTGCATTTGTGATTTCGCAAGGACGAAAAATATTCGCGGTATAATGGAAATTTCCGTTTTTTACATAAAAGTTATGGTGTATTTTACCCGCTAAATATTGTCCGATGAACAAACCATATGGTAGGCTTCTGTCCAGCACTAAGCACTAGCCCCGTGCTAACTTCCGGGGCGACCTGTAGAGCAACTGCAAAATCAGGATTTTTTTCAGTTTTGATCCATTTCAACTCCTAAATGTTTTGCGATCATCTCCAAAAGCAATAGGCTTCTATTCTGACCCTAATCCACCTCCATTTTCAATTTCGTGGGGATCAGGCCATAATTGCAAATTAACATGGACAGAGGAACAAACGGACGGACATACATAGCTGGATCGATTCAATTCGGCGAGATAGAAAGATCCATCTATACTTTCCTATGTGGGAAACCAATATTTCGATGTGTTACATAATTTTTGGTCCAATCAAACTTATAATACCCCCAGCGCATAGTGTTGTACGGTACAAAAAAAGGCTGTAATTACGTTTGAAAACGAACGATTCAAGAGAAATTAATTTTTTAAAAAAAAAAATTTTTAACAAATTTTTTAATCAAAAATTGGAGAGCAAACCTTGATATTAGTAATAATTTTCTAAGTAGTCCTATTAAGTATTAGAATATCCCGCGGGACTTGTATTAAGAGTTTCTCTTATACTATTATTTTGGGAATCCAAAAAAACTTATTGTCACTTCAAAAAATAATAAAAAGGAAGCACGCAGATGTAGCTTATTAGCCTTGCAAGAAAATACCCCTAAAACATGAGTTATAGTTACAACATACAAAAACTAAAGGGTAACGGGTTAATAGTCTCCAAAAATATATTCTTTCCTAAATTAAAAAGGAAATCAAACAATTGTTAAAATCGAGGTTTAAGATATTTAAATCAAATAAAATATTAAATCTGCAATTACTGTTTAAAAGGTTTGTCAATAAATAGTCTTAAGAATCACAATTATGGCTCTGACTTTCTTGATTATTAAACCCAATTACAATTCTGATAATAAATCCAAAATAATTCCTCTTAAAATCAAATAATGTCGTCAAAAAAATGCCTTCCAAAAAGTATTCTTAAAAAATAAAAATAAGAATAAAAAAATCAGGTTCTTTTTTCATTTATAAAAAATCCACGCTAACAACATCTATAAAATGCTAAGAATATCAGCCGATAGACCCTTACAAAATATCAATACTTGAAAATTTAAAAAAATGCTCCGAAATTACGCCCCATATTATTTTTGAAAATCCACAACTATAACTCCCACAATATTCTTGAAAACCCTGAGCTATAACTTTAAGAAAACTTCGAAAGTTCGACTACTATAGATATGATTGTCCTTGTAAACCTGCTATTTTAATCCTGATTGTTCTGCAAATCCTTAAAAATCCACTATTATAACTTGTATGGTCATTCAAAAAATATTCCTAAAATCAGATATTGCATTTACGATTACAGTCCCTAAAATATACCAAAAATTCACGATTACATATTTGGCAGACATTTAAAACATATTTTTGTATTTGATGATGAAATTTGTCTGTGATTGCTTTTTAAAAATAATTAATTTAAAAAAAATCAGGATTTTAATCACGTTGAACTTCAAAAAAAAAAAAAAAAAATTGCTAAACAATCAATAAAAATCCAGAAAGTGTCCCTTAATAAAGTTTGAAAACATTCCAATTATAATTGAGATAATTTTTACAAAATATTCTTAAAAACCGACGATATTGAGAGGCTAAAATTTTTTCAACATTATGATACTAAATCCTTTCAGAAATGTTTTTAAGAAATTGTTTGACATCTCTACAAAAAGTGATTATCACTTTGACATCTCTTCAAAATGTATTCTTTTTATTTTTCCCCCTTCTGTTGATTCTCATCCCCGTTAAAAATAAAATTTTGTTTTTTTTTTAATTTTCATTTGTTTGTTTTTTAATTAAATTATTTTTCTTTTTGTTTATAAACTTAAAAACTAATTAACATTTTATTCTTAATTTAAGAAAAAATAGTTTAGTGTCTTCCATGGATTAAAAATAAAATTTACAACTAGATTTTGTTTTTTTTTTTTAATCAATGTCTTCCTTAGTTTAAAAATAAAATAATTTGAAAAAAATTACACTAAATATTTACATTTTAAATTTATACAAAAATATTAATTAGGCACTTGAGAATTAAGTTGTACACGCACACTCATTTTAAAATAAAAAAAATATTTGACTAGATTTACAAACGACAAAAACAAATTGTTTTTAAATATTTGCTTTTGCCTTGGCGCTTTAAAGTTTTGAACAAAAAAATCCCTGATATTTATGTGTCTGTTTTTCTTTTAAATCCTGCAGTCTTGAATATGATTTCTTTTTTAAGATTTTGTGTTTTGTTTTTACTGTTCCTGCCACAGTGAAATGTAATCTAAAATTTCTTCATCATCCGGTGTGCAATCCTCTTCGTCCAAAGTGAAATTGTCATAGGGCTCGAATTTCAGCTGGATATTAGTAACAAAAGCCAAGGTAGCAGCATCGGCAGAAATTTGGTGGTGGTGCGGTTGTTGTTGTTGCTGATGATGAGGATGATGTTGCTGCTGCTGTTGAGTGGGTAAATCTGCCAAGGATTGCTGCTGTTGTTCAAAGCTAGCCGCCACCGCTTCATAGGAGAGATTTGATGAATTGAATGACGAGGTGGGTGAATGACAGCCATTGTTCTCATAGCCGGCATTGTGCTGAGGAGAATAGGAATTCATTGATACCGGCGATAGTAAAGTTGTACTGCTGCTGTACGGATTCAAATGACCTGCCAAATTCACATCCATCAGGGAAGGCAATGGACTGGTGGATTGTGGCGTATAATACACTGGAGTTGTTTGGCTGGCAGCATTATAGGTCGAGGAAGCCGATGACGAACTTGACGACGAACTGAAGGAACTATTACTGGCTGTGTCACAATTCGAGTTGTTTGTTTGCAAATCGTATTGCTCGTTGGAAGAACTTACACCACCATTCAAATCATCTAGGAGATCTTCAAGACGTCGTATATACTCGACAGCAATTCGCAGGGTATCAACTTTACTGATCTTTTTCTGGGGTCCCCGACCGCCACCTTTAGTTAGATCGGCAATGATGGTCTGTGGAATGTGCTGGCGCAGACGGGCGAAACTATTGTTCACTTGTTTGACACGATTACGTTCACGGGCATTACGTCTCATGACCGAATGTTGCGACTGATCGGCATTATAGGGTTGAGAACGCGTCACTTTGCGGTTTTTACCATCCTCCGCAATGGGATGGGGTTGTATGTGAGGATATTTAGGCATTTTACCCGGCGTTGCAATTGTGGTTGGGAAAATATGTTGTGGTTGTTGGACGTTTGTTTGATTACAACTAACACTTGACATTGTCGTTTGTGGGGCGAAATGTTTCGAGATTTTTGTTTCGATTTCAGATTTTTTATTTTTCAAGTTGTTTTTGGATTTCAGTTTGTGTTTTGCAATGAGAACTTGATCCTACGACACCTTGTTTAAGAATGAGTCCCTTTGTCCTAAACCTTTGCATTAAGTACTTGTGTGAGCACACACTCAGGTTGCCATAGCTTCAACACAAACAACTTCCAACATAACCTGTGAGTGAGCGCACATGCGAGAGAGCACACACTACAGAGAGTGAGAGCACAACTACCTGTGATCTTACTCACAACAGGTAACATAGGTGAGCATAAAATCCATCCATTGGGGAATTCCCACCATATACGAGACAGGTAAGCTAAGAGCGTAACTCTCCTTCTCCCAACTACAAATTTATGATCTCTCTCTGTGCTCATAAAAATCTTATCAGTCTGCTGCTCTGTTTTATGGTTTCCACCACTTTGGCATGCAGGTATTGAGGAGTAGTATCAGAGCTGAGTTAAATCCTTTTGGCTATCTGGAGCCCAAAATGGGAACAGTTTGTTGTGAGGTGAATTGTACAGATTTCCTATCTTGTTGTTGTTTTTCGTTACCCCTACTTGTGCAGAGCTCATCATACAAGGAGGTGTATTGAGATACAAACAAATCTCTTAGATATCTTGATTTCATTATTAATTTGTTTTGAGAGTTATTTTTTCTGAGACATAAAATTGTGTGAGCGTTTTAAAATCTCTGAGTATTTTGTTATCGAATAAAAGGTTCAATCAGAGAGATGAAATATAGTTGCAGTTTATGACTGCTTCCTTAAAGAACGTATATGACTGAGAGCGGATGTTTGAGATTTGAAATCTTAAAAGTTTCGAAAAAAATACGTACTTATGCACGTATATTAAAAAGGAAATATAAAATTTAAAAGATTTTTCATTTACTCTTTATGAAAGTCATTTTTGACAGCTCAAGTGATTTTTTCATAAACATTTATTTGCAATAAAAAATCTGCTAATTTCATGGACATGGAAAAAAGTTGAATCGATACAGCTGGAATAAAGTTAAAAGCACGCTTAAAGGAGGTTTATGAAAATAAGAACTCTTTCGAAATAAATTAAATCATTAAATTGTTTAGAAATTAATGATCCTAAAATGTTTGACTGGTTATGTTAGCACCTAAAGAAATACTGAACTTGAATCCAATAATTTGCGAACTGTGGTTAAAATCCTCAAAATACCAATATATTTAAAAATATATACCCATATTTGACAATTTTTACTAGGATGTAGTCTATTCACTACGGTTTTAAAATAGTTAATTACAAACAATTTTGATTAAAGCCCCTTAACCACACCTAAATACGACGGAAAATTATGTTAAAATCCTCTCATCCTATAAGAACTCCACAAACAAATAAAGGAATGGAGCCGACCATGTGATACCCTACAACACAATAATATATTGGAAATCCACGAACGGAGACAATACTTGAAAGTTGGTGAATATTCGTTTAGATATAGCTCTAGGTCACATATATGTCTTTCTTCCGATTGGTATGCACACTAGAACAATAATGTTTTGAACCAGATATCAGATAGAGCTCACAAATACCTTTGCAAAATTTTGTCGATAACGCGTCAGATTTAGATACAGCTTCAATATATATCTTCATTCGATTTGATTTGATTATGGTGCACCATAAATATAATATCCGTCCAACTTGGATAGTTATTTTGCACATTCAAAGACAAATACGACATTCCTGGAGACAAATACGACATTTTGTAAAATTGGGTTCCCTAGGAGGGTTATACCCTCCACCTTAAATTTGTATTCGTCATATTTTTATTTTTATTTATTATTATTTTGATAGTTTTAGCCACATACTATTTTCACCGATTTGCCTAAAAATTGGTATTTGTCGTTCGTTATGGGTTCAAGCTTTAGTGGCGGAACATAGTGCATACAGGTTCACGTTTTCGTATAGCCCCCATATGTACATCCCGTACATCCCGATATTTACGGTATTTTGTTGATTTTACCGACATTTTTCTACGGATTTGTCTAAAAACTGGTATTTGTAGCTTGTAATGGGTTCTAGCTCTGGTGGCAGAACATTGAATATCTAGGTCCATGTTTTCCTACAGAGCACATATAACGGTTCTATCGGATATTCGGAATTTTAAGCCACATTTTCTAATATTTTTGTGTGAAATTTGGTTTTTGTACTCCATATTGGGTTCATTAACCGGCGTCAAAACATTGCCCATATTGATCCTAGTCACAAAATTATGTAAAATTCGGTATTTAAGACTAGCAATAGTTTACAATTGTTTTAGTATAAAATTGTGTATATAGGCTTCCGTTTTAGTATGGCCCTCATATAACGGCTCCAACTATTCTCCTATCGATCTTACTGGAGTTTGTAGTTTAAAGTGGATCGCGTTTGAATTCAGATACTTTTGAAAAAAAAAAAGTTTTTTTTACCCAATGTGGGAAGGTAGAGGGTATTAAAAGTTAATTTTAGAGATTTTTAGTCCAGTGAAACTGGATTTTTTTAAATTTGAATTTTTTAATAACCTCAACAAAAATTAGTATAAAGTCTTATTTTTTGGTGAAACCTTTAACAAAAAATTAGAAAAACTATATTTGACCATGAGGAGACTTTTCGATATAGGTCCAAATATAAATCAAGTAAAAAAGCGGTAAGATCGGGCGGGCCGATCTTTGAATACCCTCCACCATGTAGAACGAATTTGAAAACATTTAATTTGAAAACATTAACATTTTTAAATTTCCGAATATAGCTGTTATATTAGGGCCTGTACGACAAGCACCTACATAGGCATTGCTTCCGGTGAATAATGTCGCTAAAATCATCAAAATACCGAATGTCAGGAGGTACCTTTATACGGGGGCTATACGAAGACGTGGACCTGCACAGACAATTTTTTGTCTCAGGCAGTAGTATCCATTTCGAACTTCAAATGCCAAATATGAAACAATTCCGGTGAATAATGTCGCTAAAATCATCAAAATACCGAATATCGGAAGGTACCGTTATATGGGGGCTATATGAAAACTTGGACCTGCACAGACAATTTCCTGTCTCAGGCTGTAGTATCCATTTCGAACTTCAAGTGCCAAATATGAAACAATTCCGGTGAATAATGTCGCTAAAATCATCAAAATACCGAATATCGGGAGGTACCGTTATATTGGGGCTATATGAAAACGTGGAACTGCATAAGAATTTTTTTTGCCATAGGTTATAGTACCCATTACGAACTTCAAATACGAAATTTGAAACGATTCTGGTGAATGATGTTGCTGTTGCTATATTTGAATTTGTCTAACATAGTCAAATTTGAGTTCGAATTTTTGAAATATAGTACATTAAAATACTGCAATAATTTATTCAAAACATTTTTTAAATCGAAGCCTACACTCTCCAGATTTCTCAAAAAATACATTTATGCCTACATTTTTGGCTATATAATTTGTTTACTATCCAATTATGGATTTTTTTTTAGATATAGGTGATCATAGATTGTTTGTCATTATTTGTTAGGGTAAACTATAATTCTCCGTCAAATTTTGTTTTGTGATATTTTATTAATACTATGTGGATGCACTTATTCATGAGTAAGATACATATCTATTATTGATTTCGATTTTTATTGTCCCTTTTAAAAGTATTGCAAAAAAAACTCAACCTAATTAGCGATCGCAAAGCTTTCTTGTTTGACAGACAATAGAATACAAATATAAGACAAATTTTAATGTAAAAACCATGCTGGGAGTGATGGGAATAACAAATCCTTTCCTTGTCTTCTCAAAAGAAAACCCCAGCGAATGCCATCAGAAAAAAATAACAACGAACCAACGGCGGTAATTGAAAAGCCCTCTTGGTGGTGCTTTTATTGAATTGCCTCTGTTTGTACATAAATTTTACAAGTTTATTGTTATTAAGCTTTAAATAACAATAAAAAGAGTTGTAATGAAACAAATGACTTTATTTTAACAGCCTCGCGGTATGCCATAATGGCGGGAGCATTGGATTGTGGATGGGCATGGCATCATCACATGCCAGGCAATTCATGATGAGTGCAACATTGATGTGATTTTTTGGTTAGCTCTTCCTTAGTCCTATTGAGGTTCGAAGAGGCTAGCAAGAGAATTTAGTTGTTGTTATGTTGTAGCTTTTTTTGTGTTTTGTTACCACAAAAATATTTCCCTCAACAAGTTATAATTTCATTAAAATTGTTGACATATCTGAGAGTCTACAACTGAAGTTCTGTCAGCCCTGATGAAATCGCTGAAGTATTTCACAGTGTGTTAATTAATTTAAGCGTTGTGTAGTCAGCAGTGCATTTTAGTTAGTTGTAGACGAGTTGCGAAACAAAATACACATCCTTGTTGGAAATAAATTTTATGGCATGACGACATTGGCGGGAGTAAGTTAATTGTGAGATACTAAGCGAGTCGTCAGTGGATAAATCATCTTTGTTATGACATTTACGAAGGAGGGTGGCATGGTAATTGAGGGAGGAAAAGAATCGAATCGAAAAAGAATTGTGGTCAAGAAATCTAGAAATATAGAATATTTTTTGAGGGAATATTGCAACAAAATGCAGTCTTAATATTTTTTGTATATTATTAGGACTAAAACCGAATTATAAAAGGTAACAGTGGAATTTTATTAATATATTGGAGGAGTAATTTTAGAATAGGATTTTAAGAGAACACTCAAGGACTATTAGAGGAATATTTGAGCAAAGGAGGAAATAATAATTTTAGACCTAACAATGTACATATATTGTTGATCAGCGTAAAATTCTAAGACTATTTAGCCCTGTCCATCCGTCTGTCCGATGTTGAAGATTGTAGCCAAATATTTCAATAGAATTATATGAAAAACCACACAAGGAGTATCTTCTGAGTACTTTACCCCCTGAAAGAAAATTTTCTATATAGGTCCACGATATCGTATATCCCTCATAAA